TTTTTTTTTTTTTTTTTAAGAGAAAAACTTTCCCCCCCCCCCCCAACAAAGTTATGTAACTCTGGAAGTTGTACAAAGTATATAAATCAAACAGAGATTTATTAAAGTTCTTTGTATATTTTCCACAGTTACAATGCACTCAAGTCTTGCAAAAAAAGTTTTCTCCGAAATATTATATGATGGTATTTGTTTTTTGTTTTTTTATTATGATACCAAATCACAAAGTTTGACCGTTCACGGCTTTCCAATACCTTTCTCCCCACAATGATCCCAGGTGTGTTGGCGTCCACGATAAACCCGGTGAAGGCCTTACCGGCGGACGTGCCGGCGTCTTTGCTGGTCCTGGCAAGGACGAAATACCAGTTGGCCACGGAGCCGTTTGTGATCCACATCTTCTGCCCGTTGATGACGTACTGGTCTCCCTTTTTCTCGGCTCTGGTTTTTATGCTCGCCACGTCCGAACCGGCCGATGGTTCTGACACGCAGTAGGCCTGTGACGAAACCAGACAAGGACAGCAGTGTTATAGCTGACACAATTTTAGAACATTGTATCAAACAGACGTAGACATGTTCTAAAAAAAATAATTAAGGGAGTGATTTCAATTAGGGACCGTGTACATATTATATGAAGCGAAGTTGGTTGGGGGAGGGGGTGGAGGGGTTGGTTATCATTTTGTAATATTGTGTGAGATAGGTGTGGGTGGTAGAGGGCAATGTTTTATGACTAATATTTTTTTTTTATTTTTTGGGGGGGTGGGGGGGGGGTTTTCATTCTTACTTAAGCAAATGACCTGCGTTTCGAATTTACAAAATTAGCCTACATTATTGAAAACAAAAGGGTAGACTATATTGTGCTTACAGTAATAAATATTGGGGGTGCTAGAAATGTTATATAATATTAACGGGGTGGGTAAAAATGTAATATATATTTGTCTAACATAATAGGTACACGGCCACTTTTATAAGTTTTTCTTTGAATTCGTCACTTAAAATAGATATTCGAATTTGGCAAAATGACTGTAGTGGTTTCGCAGCATGTAGCGGGGTGGTAGAAGATGTGCAACGGAAGCAGTAGCAGGATGGCATCAGCAGAATGATGGTAGAAGTAGCGTGATGATGGCAGTAGCATGATGGTAACATTAGCATAATGGTAATAGTAGCATGGTCATAGAAGTAGCATAATGTTAGAAGTAGCATGGTAGTAGCAGTAGCATGATGGTAACAGCTGCGCTATGGTAGAAGTAACATGATGGTAGCAGTAACATGATGGTAGGAGTAGCATGATGGCAGCAGTAGCATGATGGTAGCAATAGCTTGACAGTAGCAGTAGTATGATTATAGAAGTATCATGATGATAACAGTAGTACGATGGTAGCAGTAGCACGATTGTAGCTGTAGCACGATGGTAGCAGTAGGACGATTGTAGCTGTAGCACGATTGTAGCTGTAGCCTTTAAATTGAAATAAGTCGTTGAAACAGAAGTGTTGTCTGGTATTAACATAGCTAAACATGCTAAATTTGCTACACCCCCACCTCCCACCCCCACCCCAAAATCACCAATGGCTATTTCATACTAATTTCACTAAATGACCAACAAATGGGATAGTTTATTTATTTATTTTTTTTTAATTTTTCATCTGACTATTTTTGAAAGCATTTTTGTAAACGCTTAACTGTGCCTCGGTGTAACACAGTCCAATATAAACAATCATTCTTCCCACGCACAATAATCGCATGGAACCACCTGGACAATGCCGCCGTGGACTCGACGTCAATAGGAGAGCTTCAAGGTTGCCCTGGCATCTGATTGGAGCCCTTAAAATACCAGCATCGCTTCCCCAACGTTTGCACATATGCCTGTACATGGATTAAGCAACGTATCCTACCAGAACCAGAACCAGACCCAGACAGCATAAGCAATTAGTTGTTCAACTTGCATACCTTTTTTCAGCTTTAAAACTTGCTAATCATTTTAGGTTGAAAGTAGACCCTAAATAAGGGCCTTGGCGTCTTTAATTGACCAGACATATTTAAAATTATAACGCCTGACTAAAATTTAATATTATTGTTGTTTTTTTTAATTGACTTACACACATAAGTGGCTCCTCTATATGCCTCCCAAGATATTTCTTTTGTTGAGCTGTATTGCCAGCAATCACAACAGGTATTTGCTGTTTAAAAAAAATAAGAAAAAAAAAACAAGAAAAAAAACCACTAAGTTCTTTGAAACTAAAGAAAACTAAAGGCTTCAAGGCATAACAAAAATAATAAATTATAATATAAATTATACAATAATAATATACCATAATAATATAACATTATATTATTAAAAAATATATATTTTTTTTTTTAATAACGTCACTTGTGTTTTCCTAACATCAAAGTTTATATTTAAGTTTTAAAAAAAATGATTCT